ACATCAGTTGACTGATAATTATCTCGATAGATGTCACATTATTTGTTCTTTTAGATTTTTAAGCATTTCAGAAACCTGATGTAGATCAGGTGTGTATTATATCAATATACATTGGTCTTTTTTTTATATATTTCTATTGATGAGAATTCTATTGATATTGATACTGTTTAATACCCAGCTCTAATTTCTTGTCTATGTTTAACAACTCAAACCAATTTTGAATAACATAGTTTCAGTTTTGCTTCTCACTTTCTCTCACTCTCTCCTTTTTCTTTTGCTTAGTTGTAGCATATTTGGGTTGATGGTCAGGTTTCATGTGAACCTTAATAACATGAAATTAAATTAGCAAAGCCCAATAGTGTCCAACTTGTTTGAAATTGTGATCCACCAGAAAAGGCTGTCTATTGATGGAGCTCAGATAATGAAACAAAAACTGGAGCTGATTTACTGTAAATCATCTGCCTGTTCTTAAAACGCTCACAGGAGGAAGCAGGAGGGGCAGTAAAATGAATCATCCACTGACCTAAGCATCACTGCAAAATCTGAAACCAAAAAACAATACATTAAAAAATGTATTAAAACATTAAAAACACTAAAAGGGCTGTGTAAGATTTATGTGAAAGACATTTTTGCCAGAAACTGAATATAAAATAATGATGTTTCACTTGTGTTTTTCATCTAAATTGTACAAATTGTTGTTATCTTAACCACAGAATGGGCCCTTTGTACTTAAATACGGAGGCTGCCATAGTTTTTTACAGTAGTCCAAACTGGACAAACTAAACACCTTTTGACTTTATTATGACAACTAAAAGATACCACAGATTATCTGTCATGATTCTACTAAATTCTACTCATTGAACCTTTAAATCAATATTACAGCTGTTTTCAGATATGCACTGAACTCCGCAGATCCACGTAAATGACCAAGTGAGCCGCTCCGCAGTTTCTACGGATTTTATCCGCCTGGCCTCTTACTATGAAGTCCGTCACAAAAAAGGCGATGTGTGAACGCAGTAGGGTTTCCCCCACTGGATTCACCACGAGCAACAAAAAGAAAACAAATTTGGTGATAAGAGCTGACAACGGTGCAGAGGTGCTTTCAACAAAACCACCTGATCTACACGTGGAGTTAATACATCACTTATTGCCTCTGTCTGCTGCACCCGGCTGCTCCACCTCTCGCCTGAATAAAGCAAATTTGTTGCCATTGTGAATGCGTCTGTGCTAAAAAAAACCTGGAGGTCATGTCTGAAACAGCTTATGAGCTAACACCCAGAATAAGSCTCCCACAAATAAGACATTTCRTTTTTTGTTACTTTATTATCTTACTTCATCAAGAAATGTGCGTTCACTCACTTAATCTTCATCAACTCACAGCTGCAGCCAAAGTTCAGACGGAGGCCAAAGGCAGAGACGATGCAGCAGCAGATGAAACGCTGTGTTCCACCTCGGCTGTTTTAGGGAATATTCCAAAAGAACTGAGCCTGGAGTTTTTGGAGATGTTGGTGGAGAATGTTTTAAAGGATCCCAAATCCCCATCTGCCTCATTCACGTTGGAAATCATTCATGGCATCTCCTCTGTTGTGGTTACTTTCCAGAGTGGAAAAGGTATTCATTTACTGTGTGTGTTGTGTGTGTATGCGTGTAATTATAGTTCCAAAAAACACAACTTGTACAGAGGTTTCCTTTAAATTAAGTGCAGTGTATATGCCAAATCCTACTTTATTGATGCATGCTTACAATAGAACCTGAARAAGTTATCATTCAATCACCAATTCATATTAAATTGAATTGAGTTAGAGTTTTCTTGTGAACAGTTATTGTAAAAGATTTGATGTTTTTCTCAAAACATGTATTGTATGAACCCTAAACTTCTCCTTGGCAACAATGTTGATGCCATTTTATGAAAGGTTTATAAGGGCCATACTGAAGAATAAAGATTTTGAGAATATGTTGTGATATYACGAGAATAAAGGTGTAATTTAATTGCTGAAAGGAGCTTATGAAATCCMTTTGAATATCACACAGTTGTAACCAACAATTTACTGTTGACCACTACCAAGGATTTTCTTCTCCACAAAAAAGGCAATTTCCTTCAAGTGTGTGTGGCCCTTTCTTTGAAATAGACACAGTTTCTGACACAATCTTTTCTAAGTCCTTATACTTACAATAATGTGGTGCTTGTGTGCAGGTGTGATTAAGTAACATAAAACCTAAACTAAAGTATAACTAAATAAGATGCTGCACATTCCTCATTTTAAAGGTGTGTAAGATTTAGGTGAAAGGGATTTTTCTCAGAAGTTGCATATAATATAATCCTAGTGATGTTTTCACTCTTGTGTTTCATCTAAGTTATATGAATTGTTGTTTTCTTAACCATAGAATGGGCCTTTTGTATTTAAATACAGAGGCTGCCATAGTTTTATACAGACATCCAAACTGGACAAACAAAAGCCTTTTGAGTTTTCATGACAACTGAAGTTCACCACAGGTTCTCTCTCATGTTTGGAAGGGGAGGGTGAGATGAAGGGTATTCAGCTGCAACATGCAACTTCACCAYTAGATATCACCAAATTCATTCATTAAATTAAAACTTTTTCTCATGATACTGCGACTTAATTCTTGTTCAATTTAGATTTCATTGCCATCATAACACTACTTTATTCTTAGACATTTCTTTCCCACTATAAATGTACATATAACTCMATCGTAGGTTATTGCCTAACTTTCTGATTTTTTTCACTATCCCACAGAAAGCACTGACTTTGTGGCAAGATGCCCTMAAAACAGGATGTTCGCAAGTAAGGGATTGTCAGTCCRGCCTCTTGAAGTCACAAAGCAAGTTGTGGTGGAAGACATCCAAAATTTAAATGAAGATCTTCTCTACCTGTATTTCGAGAATGCTGGTGGGGATGTGGAAAATGTTCTGCTTAATGAAGTGGAACAGTTTGCACTCATCACCTTCAAAGACAATCAAGGTAACACAGTTATAGTGCACATTGAATATTAACATGTCCGTATAAATGCAGTACAATGATAATCAGAGATTWACAGCTTTWTATCAATTCTGGACAATTTGACAGTCAATGTAATATTTCTTTCTAYAGCTGTTCAGAAASTCATGAAGAAGAAGCATCACATCAAACAGGAAGAGATCAAAGTTTATCCTTTCTATTCCTCTTTGGGAGCAGCCCTCTACGGCAAAGACAGGCCCYCCTTAAAACTCCCTGCAGCTGTCTATGAACCCATTGACAATGCTGTGTGGAGATACCTGAATGACCATAAATCAGCAGCAGAGTCCATTCACAGGGACTTAGCTAAAAACYTTTGTAATGTAAAACTCGAAGGATCTGCTGTGTGCTTGAGCCCAGTAGTTTCAATTCTTCGGCAAAAAGATGCCAAAGCCATCATTGAAGAGTGGAGGGGTAGAGTGAAGTCAGCCTTTGCACAAGCTATGTTGAAATTCAAATCCCTGAAGTTTCAGCCAGATTCAGAGGTATGGGAAGAGTGTGTGGGGAATATCAGACAAATGCTTCAGAATCAGGATGTGGATTTAGTGCCAGATAAAGCCAGTGGCATCTTGTCAGTAGTTGGCTTTGTGGATGATGT